AAAGTTAAATATTGTTGCAAAGTTATGCAAGACTAAAAGTATGTGTTTTGGAATGTTTTTGTTTTTAATTCAACTCAATTTAGGAATACATGTCTTGAAAGAAAGACCAGAAAACCTTAAAATAAGTCATGACATGCATTCTTTAAACATTTAATTTCTCACAAGCAGCTTCCTGTTAAAATAAGATACAAACACCAGAAGGAACAAAATATTATTTTATGATATAGAAAAGATAAGTGTTGTCTCCAATAAGTATTGGTGTGCTGCGATATATATGTCTTAATTGGACTTCCTTGTGTTTTTATTGTTCTGGAATGAAAAATATGACTAATGAATTGTTGGTTAAAAGTCAAGGACTCCTCTCCTCTCCTGACTTGCTTTTTCTCACTCTCCTCTCCATTCTTTCTGTCTCCTCTTCTCAGCATCTCCATCTATGCGAGGATCTACTCCTCTAGATGTAGCTGCAGCATCAGTCATGGATAACAATGAGCTGGCCCTGGCTTTAAGAGAGCCAGACCTGGAGAAGGTGAGATTGACGAACTCCTACGCACACTTAAGCACACGAGGAAAATGTGTGTCACAATATATCAAAAATTCTAGAGTTGCTTTGTTGGAAGACCACCATGGAAAAGTTGATGTATTGGCCACGCAAAATGTCAGGAAGAAACTTTAATGTGCAATCGTTAACATTTGAAGCCTGCTAACAAGAACAAGTGTATTCTTTTTCATTAAAACTGTTGGTATTTATTTGATATTCAATTTTAAATCACTTAATGTTCTTTAAAAGTTTCCATAATTAGTTAGTTAATTAATCAATTAGTTACTTATAAATGCAAAATCACCTGATTCTGACATTAAAGAATTTCAAGGTAACTAATATTCTGTGTTTTTCAATAAAAAGTGAATAAACTGCCCTTGTAAGCTAAGATTCCAACACCCGCGTGAAGAACAACTGCCTTCCTTAGTGCCTAAAAGTTTAGAAAAGTTGTTTATTTACTATTTTTAAGTTCATGCAGCAAAAAAAAGGCATCAGCATCTGAAGACAGGCCCGATGTTAATGTCTGTTAGTTGCAGGGCTTGTGTTTACTTCCTTTCACTCCAAAAATCAACAGAATATGTCATTTGCCTGGGCAGGTGGTGCAGTACCTGGCAGGCTGTGGGCTGCAGAGCTGTGCGATGCTGGTCCGTAAAGGATACCCTGACATTGGCTGGAACCCTGTGGAGGGGGAGCGATACCTTGACTTCCTGCGCTTTGCTGTCTTCTGTAACGGTGAGAACTTAAAAAGTTTTAGCTATGCTCAACACAGATCTAAACTCTTTGTTGGTGAATGGGTTTTTGGCCTTTAGCTTTTTGACGTGAACTTAATGACACTGTCCCTGTTGTGTGGCTAGGTGAAAGCGTGGAGGAGAATGCCAATGTTGTGGTGAGGCTTCTTATTCGCCGACCAGAATGTTTTGGGCCTGCTCTTCGAGGTGAAGGCGGTGATGGGTTGCTGGCAGCGATGGAGGAGGCTATTAAGATCTCTCTTGACTCCTCCAGAGATGGTCCCTCTCCTACATCTGAGAGCAGCAAGACACTGTAAGACATCACTTTAATGCTCATTTACAGGTCAATTATTCAGTCCTGACCCACATGTTATCTCTTCTAACCTGAAGACACATTCCAGATATGTGTATGAAAATTCACTGAATGGACAGAAATCTTTTGCATACTCTAAGCAAGTTTCCAAGTGCAAATAGTGGTGTTAGCAGCACTACAAAAAAGTAGCACGTTGATGACTTTACTTCAGTTGGCTGACAAGACCATTGACATTTTTATTGTGCTGGTAAAACAAGCATCTCCTTTTGTTTCAGCAAGTATGGGGGAATTCTTGGCGGAAGTTCCGTGTAGGTGCTCATACACTGCCGTGTTGTGTAAACTATCATGTAGCTGTTCTGGGGTACTTTTAGTTGAGGCTTCATACTCATTTGCTTAGTGGTTTGTTTGATACCAAATAACCTGCAAAACTGCAAACTAAACTTAATGCTATCGGGAGAACAATCCATATATAGTATTTGTTAGCAGTTAATATGTGTGTCTATGTGTGTGTAGTAGTGACATGCAGGAGGAAGAGGAAGATGATACCATCCACATGGGAAATGCCATTATGACCTTTTATGCTGCTCTCATTGACCTGCTGGGCCGCTGTGCTCCAGAGATGCATGTGAGTGACATCAGATTGAACAGACACTCACACCCACACACAGACTAATATAGATACTGTACTTAATCTAACCTTACCTATTTTTACATCAGCTAATCCATGCTGGGAAAGGTGAAGCAATTCGCATCAGAGCCATTTTGAGGTCACTCATTCCCATTGAAGACCTGGTTGGAGTCATCAGCATTCCATTCTCAATGCCTAACCTGGGTAAAGGTAAGCAAATTATCCAGCACTCCCCTTGCCTGACATGCATAAAACCATAATACTGATTTTTAAACAGGTTAAAGAGAAGATTCAAGATTATTATGTGCAGCCATGAAATAACAGCAGCATTTGAAGCAATTCTTAATAATTAGGACCCGTCATCTTTTAACTGTCAATCTTGTTTCTGATGTGTGTGTTTATGTGTCCCTGTGGATGTATAGATGGGTCCGTTGTGGAGCCCGACATGTCAGCTGGTTTTTGCCCAGACCATAAAGCAGCTATGGTCCTGTTCCTGGACCGTGTCTACGGTATAGAAGACCAGAATTTTCTTCTCCACCTCCTGGAGGTTGGATTCTTACCAGATCTGAGGGCTGCTGCCTCTCTGGACACTGTAAGTTTGTCTTTGTGTTCATACACTTGTTTGCTGTCTTTTCTTCCACTCTGTTTCCTTGAAGCCTCTGTGGATCCACAGTCCACTCATGTGACTGTTGTCACTTATGCTGCCTGAAAATACCTCTTCTCCTGTTTTGTTTAACCTGTTGGGGCAACAGACCTTAACATTGCTTTTACTGGACTATAGCAGTGGTGGAAATAAGTGAGTACATTTACATAAATCAAGTTTTTGTACTACTTTATTCTACTTTTTGCTGCTTTTCCTCATTTTTTAAAATATGATATATATAATATCACTCTTCTTGTTCCACAACAATACTTTTGTAATATAGTTACTAGTATATTTACTATTGCAAATTAAAGATTGACTGTTTTCAGTCAGTGATTGCACTAAGCATTCAAATTTCCATCCCTTCCTCTCAGTTCAATTGTTCTCAAAGTATTTATTACAGCGAGGTGTAGTGAATATGAGATGAAACTGCAAAACTTGACCTTTGTTTGTCCATCCATCCATCCATTATCTATACACCACTTAATCCTCACTAGGGTCACGGGGGGCTGGAGTCTATCCCAGCTGACTTAGAGTGAAAGCAGGGGACACCCTGGACAGTTTGCTAGTCTATTTCAGGGCTGCACTTATAGACAGACAACTAAGCACACTCACATTCACACCTATGGACAATTTAGAATCANGCACACTCACATTCACACCTATGGACAATTTAGAATCATCAATTAACCTCAACATGTTTTTGTACTGTGTGGGAGGAAGCCGGAGAACCCAGAGAAAACCCACACTGCACGGGGAGAACACACAAACTCCCTAGTTGCTTATGTGTGTGACAAATTTAATCATGATTACAACCAGCATGCAGTTCTGCATCCATCTCCACACCCACTGGCCTTCTTTGTATAACATGTGATGATACCTGGATATGCTGATATTTACGCAATGACGTTAATTTCGTATTAGAAGTAAGAGCAAAATATTCAATTCAATTTCAATTAAATTTTATTTGTATAGCGCATATTTACAACAACAAGTCATCTCATAGCGCTTCACAAAGGCAGAAACAGAAACACCCAACAATCCAAAACTTCTGGATTCCCTATAAGCTTCAGCAGTCCGCAAGCAGTCCACAACAGTGGGAAGGAAAATACGTGCCTATTTTGCCACCTCTGCCAGGAGACTACTGTATGTGAACACTTCAGAACTTCAATGAAATGTAGGGGCAGCTGTGGCTTTGGTGGTCAGGTGGGTTATCCACTAATCATTAAGGCTAACAGTTTCAATCCACTGCCCTTCCATGTACTGAACATGCAGTTAGCAGTTCCATCATGGTGTGTAGATGTTAGCTTAATGCTATCAGTTAGTTTACTCACGTTAGCGACACTGAGTTGGCACCAGGCCCAGATAAGATACCAATGTGTTACGTAACAATAGCGGGACATCAGTGTTTTGAGAAAGTCTATTTAACTTCTGTTCTGAGTTACCTTAAACTAATAAGTCTACCTTTCCTCTGGTAAGTCGCTGCCCTAGTCTCCAGGACGACTCTCCTCTGAGTGACCTGGAGCCTGGTACTGGACGTGATGTCACTTTCAAGGCCACGCTCTCTCGAGTAATTAACGTCACATTACGCTCCCAAAGAGCAGAGACTGAACAAGATAGTTATCTGTAGTTTACCTTAGTACTCACCAGTAATTAACGTCGTATGAAAGAAAGAAAAGAAAATTACAAAAAAAAGTAACTGTATTGAAAGTGCATCAGTAGTAACGACTTAGCAATACTGACAGGGTTCTCTCTGCACAGTGGGTAGTTTTACTTTTATACTTCAAGAACATTTTTCTGTTAATATTTAGACACTGCTTCTTAAGGAATCTTTTGAATGCAGCGCTTGAAATGGTAACAGATTATCTTGACACAAGAATATGGCTACTTCTAGATCAAGCATCTGTTATACCACTGGTCCACAGAGTTTTATGATATGGCACACAACAACAACCTGAGCAAGGGCCTACGTTCTAAGTTTGAAGGGCATTTAAAGCTTCTATATGACCTTGCTATAAATACGAACCAGCTCTGAAAATCAAATTAACTTCACAGAGCTTTTAAAATCACACTGGAGAGGAAATAATCTTTATTTTCTAAATGCAGCAACAGCAGTCATTAAAAATATTATAGAATTTCTCTTATTCTGTCTCTGCCTGTGTTTCAGGTTGCTCTCAGTGCCACAGATATGGCACTCGCCCTCAACAGGTATTTGTGTACAGCAGTGTTGCCTCTATTGACCAAATGTGCTCCACTGTTTGCGGGGACGGAGCCATTCGCCTCACTGATTGACTCACTCCTTCACACGGTCTACCGCCTGTCCAAAGGCTGCTGCCTTACCAAGGCCCAGAGGGATTCCATAGAGGAGTGTCTGCTAGCTGTTTGTGGGTAAGACTGAACTCCTACAATGATGGCTTTTATATATAAATGTCTTAGGAGTCCAATGGTTTAAATAGTCAGGAAAGCATGTAATATACTGACAAGACCAGACAAGAGGTGCTTAGATGCTATCTAAACTGGCTTCACAGAAACAAAAAAATATTTGAAATAATAATGAAGCTATTTAAATTCTAAGTGTATTTTGGCTTTGACTCCTTCAGTGCCCTCATTGGTAACCAATCTTATTTACGTGTCAGTTTGACATGGGATCTTAAATAGGATCTTCACTTACCAGAAGCTGCATGAGCTTTAATACACTGTAACTTCTGAATGTACTCATATTTTAAGTGTGCATCATTCTTAACATCTCTGAACTGAAACTGACTGTTGCGAATATATTTAATGTCAGTTTCTGCAATTTATGTATTTTTAAAAACAGTTTCTCCTTGTTTCACTATTTGACCTTTCATGGTTTTTGTTTTGTTTTGCCTTGGGATCAAATTGAGCCTTTCTTCATAGTTTATTTTAGTAAAGTCATTCTTACTATTTTATCTACAATGTTGTTATAGTGCTAACACTGGAGAATGCATTCTGTTTTTACAAATAACCCACTAATGCTTGTCATCTCAATAATGCACAGGAAGCTAAGGCCTTCAATGATGCAGCATCTGTTGAGGAGGCTGGTGTTTGATGTTCCTCTGCTTAACGAACACACCAAGATGCCTCTAAAGGTGAGAAACACATCCGTTTTTTTGTGCACAGTCAGTCCACTATTGCTTTTCTGCCTTGTGCATGAACTACCACCTGTAGTGCTAGCAAGTGTATTCTTGTCTAGGATAAATTTGTGATCATGTGTTATTGTAATATAAATAGGAGAAATGCATCTATTTCATTTGCTATATTCAAAGTCACCTTCTATAATACGACACATTCAAAAAATAAATTTATTCTAATTCTGTCACCATGAGTGTAAAGCAGCATGATCCCATTCATACAAATGTGTCAGTGCTGTACATTATTAACAATTCATTATAGTGTCTTGCATTCTGAAAGTGTCCAACTTGCTATGTTGTTTTAAGATGCTTACTGCTGAATAATGTGTTCTTTACTTTCCCCAGCTGTTGACCAATCACTATGAGCGTTGCTGGAAGTACTACTGCCTTGCTGGAGGTTGGGGCAGTTTTGGAGCAGCTTCAGATGAAGAACTTCACCTCTCCAGGAAACTATTCTGGGGAATATTTGATGCTCTGTCACACAAGGTGAGGCTCTAGTTTGGGTTTGTTTGTATAGAAGATCAAATGAAAATTAAATAAATTAGGTGATAAACAAGTGAATGTGTACAGGATGCTCACAGTTACACTTTTATTAACCTTGGGGACAAAGCCTTTTTAAACACTTCAGTATGCTAGAGGTTAATATATCCTGACTATTATTTGTCAGTATGGGTCAAGCTCAGAACACAAAATTTTCTGCATTTACAATAATGCTATTAATAGCATATTTCTTTGTTAGACCCATTCAATCTGGAAAATACACACATATTTTCAACGCCACACGCCCACTGTCAGCTTTTTACGCGTTGTGGAAAAATACCAGATGGATGGAATTATTAATTCTTTTTTTCTCTTCAACATTAGGCAATAATTCTGAAATCAGTAGGTAAGTAAAAAAAAAAAAAAAAGGAAGGTAAAAATTAGATCTTGCAGAATGGAAAAAAAAGTTGTGGGTTAGAGTTCTGTGTTATGAGTTTGAGTGACCCTACCTTAGACAACATTCAATGATTGTCTAAATCTGGAGACCAAGTCATTAGCTTTGGACATTAGTCGTTTTGTGTGCTTTTCACTCATGTACAGGAGCTGCAGAATGTTAGTTTTCCACTATCATCTGCAATGCACTCTTTTTTACAACATGGGCAGAACCAGATAAAATGCAATGTGCAGTGGAAGCAGAACAGTGTTGTCCAATGATGTATAGAGCAGCACACTCACACACCATGAATGTGTTCATGCTGTAGCGGTATGACCAGGAGCTGTTCAAGCTGGCGCTGCCATGTCTCAGTGCTGTGGCTGGAGCTCTTCCTCCAGACTACATGGAGTCCAACTACATGGCCATGATGGAGAAACAGTCATCAATGGACTCTGAAGGAAACTTCACTCCACAACCTGCAGACACCACAAGGTATGCAACATATTTATTTCTGCTGTGTTACATACACATACGGCACTCTATTTTTTATTTTTATTTTTTCAGTTATTTTTGGTTCAGATCCAAATTTAGAATTTTATAAAGAATTCCTTAAAGTTTAAAAGATAGGCCATGTGACAAAAATAATTAAATCATTTTGTAGCACTGTTTGTACACTGGTATAAATCCAGATGCTGATTCAAATTACTTAACATTCATTGTTGACTTGGCTTTGTCTGCAGTTCAGACCAGCCTTGACAGCAGTTGAGCCCATTTACATTTATCTGAATGTTTTTTCTTTCTTTCTTTGTCAGTGTGACTGTCCCGGAGAAACTGGACTATTTCATAACCAGATATGCAGAGCACATCCATGAGAAGTGGTGTATTGAAAGGGTAAGTAGGCAAGAGGTCTCATAATGTTTTAATGGCTATCTTTGCTAAATGTTGTACTTTCTCACCTTAACAACAAATGTACAATTGATACTTCAAGACATGTTATCTGGTATGTCAACACTGCACTGACTGGCACCATTATTGAAAGTCATTGATAAGCAAAACGCAGTTACACATATCATCACATTATCACCCACATGTTCACTCATGTTTTATGATTGCTTGGGGCTACAGTTTTTTTGAAGTCTGTCTTCAGTCATGGATTTGAACCCACAAAATCTCATTTCACGGAATAAAAAACATATTTCTTCCATGAAAGTAATTCCTATTGTGCAAAATACTGGGTTAAATGTAACTCTTCACTGTTTCTTCTGCTTTAGCTGATGGCTTTTTTGGACCCAAATGCAGAACAAAGATTTGGTCACTTTCACCACTGTTGTTTCTGTTCTGTGATGTACACTAAACCCTGACCAAAAGTCTTTAAACAAACCATTGTTACAACAGTACAAACAGGAAATAGACTGAAAAATGCACGACTTGGAAGGCTCCCTAAAATCCAAAGGATTTATTGCACAATAATCAGGCAGAAGTATCTAAATCACAGAAACAAGCTTGATAGTCCCAAACAGGCTGGTTCACAAAAATACACAGGTGACACTGGAGAATTCACAAAGGAAACAGCTGGGACGCTGGCATGAGGCAAGTCAACCTAAGACACTTGGTGTGAAGATGTCACACCTTGACACTCACCTTGTTTTGGGGAGCACCATTCGATGGTGGTCCTCCACCTGCTTTCTCTCTAATTTCTGAGAAGAATCTGTGGGGCATGGGTCCAGGTGCAACTGCAATGCTGAATACGGGCCACAACAAATAGGACCACAGCCTCCTTTTCCAGGGAAGAGATCAGGGTGGTTGGTAGCTATAGGTGAACTGGAAGGAGCTGAGGACAGTGGAGGAGCAGGGCAGGGTGTTGTGGGCATTTTCAATCCAGATGAGCTGTTTTCTCGAGAAGCTGGGGTCGTGGGAGGCCAGGCAGCATGCTTTGTACAGGCCCACCATTGTAACAGCTGCTCCCAGATCTGCATCTGCTGGCACCAAGTGGCCTCATTGTCCTGTTATGGTTTTTCAACCTCAATGCAAGAGTAAATTGTAAAGTTTCAAAAGGTTTATTGCAAAACAGTCTTTGTGATGGAAAAAAAAACACAAGGAGAAGGAATCTGAAGACGAAGATGGTGTTGCAGGTGAATCTTGTAATTCATGGCTCCAGAAGTCTGGTGACTCTGAGCGTGGCATGTGGCTTGATGAGATGGCTGCTGGAGCTTGATAGTGGGACTAAGCTGGCAAGGACATGACCAGAGGAGACTGGAACACAAAACAGCAAAACAATCTGGCAAGGAGTGAAGTGACAAGGCAACGTTTGAATACTTCAGCAGTTGACTAATGGATAATTCTCAGGTATGTCAGGTGATTGCACACAAAGAGGAACAGTTGGCCACAGCAAGGCACAGAGACAGAGGACAAAAAGGACAGGGAGAAAAAAGTGGAATCACAAAGGAATGCAGCTATTTGCAGATCTGTAAAGTTCTTGTTTCGGTCTCCACCCATTTATCGGCTACTTACTCACACACACCAGCTCACTCTGACTACTCAAACACTGCAAAACTACTTTGTGCTACACAACGGCAAGTTGTAGTTTTGAGGTAATTCAGCCATACATGTTTGAGCTGAAAAACCTATTCTGGGAAAGAACAGTGGTGTTGATGCTAAACGCTCCACCCTGCCAGGTGACAGGATTGGTTCCTTAGGTTCATTGGCTGCCTGATTATGTGTTTTTGAGACTCATTAGTACACTGCAGCTTTGAGGTAGAAATGTTCAGCCATGACTTTGACTGCTTATTTCACCAAAGATGTGTCTTTCAGCATATAGAAAATACAGCGTAGACATGTTAATAAGGTAAAAATGATGCTTTTCGCTGAAGAGGGTATTAAAGTCAATGATTATCATACTGCATTCTTCAGCGTAAGAAACAATTCTAGCAAGAACACAATAAATCCAGTATTAAAAGAGAAATATGTATGTATTGAAAGAAATATTTGTAAAAACATTGTTATTGCAAAAACCAGAGCATTTTTTTTGTCTTGGTAAATGCTAATGTTCTAATGCTATAATATAAGAAAATACTAATTTTGAAATAACTCTGTATTTATGTTTTCTAGTTTTCCAATGGCTGGTCGTACGGAGATCAGATGTGTGAAATCAGCAAGAGTCACCCTCTACTGAAACCATACAAGGGCATCTTTGAGAAGGTAGTCTCCACATGCAGCTTTCTAAGCGTTCATACAGGGTATTCCACTATCTGCAGTCAACACAACACTGTTCTATGAATGCCAGCTCTGGGCCAGTGTCAACTCATAGAATCCTGATTCTGGTTAGCAAACTACCTATTAGCCACTGTTAGCTCAAGCAGATGGGCATGTACCATGGTCTGTATTTCACTTAATTTGAATATTGTTTGCTGAAAGAGCAAACCAAATGCTTACCTGAATAACAGTACATGGTAACATGTATTCTCTTTTTCTGCAAAAACTGTTCAGCCATAGATTGGCAGAGGTTTTTGAAATATTTTAATAATTAGCAGTCAGAGTACTGTCTCAGTCTGCAACAAGCAGCAGTCTTAACTGCACATCTAAGTAAATTATCTTTGAAACCAGTTGAAACTTTTTTGTTCTCAACTTACCATGGACACTTCATATTGTAATAATGGTGACAAAGTTTTGTAGCTGTTAGAAGTGTTATAAAGTTGGGTTGTAATATTGCAGGATAAAGAGGCGTACTGCTGGCCAGTCAGAGAGTCTCTGAAGACCATGCTGTCGTGGGGCTGGAGCATTGACAGGATCAGAGAGGGAGACCCTGCCAGCCTCCACAACAAGTCCAGAAGGATATCACAGGCCAGTCAGGTACATATGAACATAGCACCTACAAACCTAACATTTACTTTGATGTGATGTAAAGGGTATTTGAAGACACAAAAAGGAAAATTGTGTGAAAAGTGGCATCAGACAGCAAATTCTACCTCCCACAGCTGTCTTTTGAAGGAGCTGCAGCTTTCAGCCCAAGACCCATTGACATGAGCAATGTTACACTGTCCAGGGACATGCAGGTAAGTCAGACAAAATATTTGATTGATTTATAAACTGATAAAATAAAATCTATGATCAGATAGCAGAAAGACATTCCTAAATTTAGAGCTAAGGGAGAATTTTTACAATCATGTAAATGGATATTAAGGATAGATGGATGAACTGATCTGTGCATCTGTAGCAGAGTCACACGTGTTGAATATTGTGCTTGTCCAGTCTATGGCAGAGCTGCTTGCAGAGAATTATCACAATATTTGGGCCAGGAAAAAGAAAATGGAACTGGAAGCCAAAGGTAAATCCTACACACACATCTCTACAACAGGGTTTCTTCTAACTTTTTCTTTAATTTAATTTAATTTTTTTTTTGGACAAAACGATGATGAAAAGATTCAGAATTATTCAAAACTGTGCATTTTAACAATGATCTAAAAATATTTTATTAAAACAAAAACATCAAGGAAATACAAGCATTAATTTCCTCTTATTTCCTCTGAGATGATGACGAAGCCATTCATACATTTAATGATAAATTATTAAAAAAAAAAAAAAAATAAGAGTGTTGAGGTGGTTCATTACTGCTGTACAGTGGCTTGACTGACCATTTAAAGTGTAAGTTTTCTAAAGGTTCACTGTGCTTTGCTGCTGTTGTCTCCAGGTGGAGGAAACCATCCCTTGCTGGTCCCTTATGACACACTGACTGCCAAAGAGAAATCCAAAGACAGAGAAAAAGCACAAGACATCCTCAAGTTCCTCCAGATTAATGGTTACACTGTGTCCAGGTAGGAAATAGGCTTTACATTGTACACCCATGACTGATTTATTTTGAATAGTTGAATTGAAATGTGTGTACATAACAGCATATATTTCTGCTGTGTTTGTGTTCAGAATCTAATAGAACATGTCTGATATTCTTATATAATATCTGACCTAGAGTTAAATAATATCACATTTACCAAATATCAAAGTCTGTATGTCCAGTACAGATGTACTGTCTGTGGTGGGCTTAGTCTGACTTACCACAGAGTGTAAGAAGACGGAAATAGCTGGCCAAGTTAGTCAAATTTAACGACTGTACCACCTATAGATTTTAGTTACTTAAGTAAGATACATTGGCTTTTACTTTTCCTGATTTCACCCTTGACAGCCATTTTTGCAGTTTGTTCCTTACTTAAAGTGTTTGCGCTAAGCTAAGCTATCAGCTGCCAGAAAAATAGATTGGGACAATGGGGAGATTAAATAAGTCTGGACAAGATGAAAAATAACTTTCTAGACTGTCAGATAATTCCTTTGTGCATGTTGCTTCCAGAGGGGTGAAGTCACAGGAGCTGGATACTCCAGCAATAGAGAAACGATTTGCGTACACCTTCCTCCAGCAGCTCATCACATATGTTGACCAGGCCCACCAACACATGGTGGAGTTTGGTAAGAATCCTCTCCTGTCTAATGAGTCATAAACAGATGACAGCGCATGCCAAGTACCATAACTGAACTCCTGTTTAGATTCCCAAAGGTTGGTGCAAAGAGGAAGGTTGCCTTATTGCTAAAATGACAGTGTGATGGATGGGTGGGTGCAATAAGCAGAGCATGTCTGCGTAAGCTGTAGTGTTTTTGTTGCACTACATGTTACACCCTATTTTTAAAAAGGCCATTCAAATTATTATGTATTGCCACCTAGTATGCTTTTGGCAGCTATTGACAAGGAGACTCCTGCAGAGTGGTGCAGAGATTTACTGCAGGACACACCAGCACCATACACAAAAATCACTCTCAACCCTTATCTATCCAATCACTATTATTTTCTATGCATGGTCAGTAGTGTCAGGGCATGGACGCTGATGACACTGATGATATGCAGCATTACGATTAACAAGTTCTGTTGTGAGCACTTGCGTAGGACCAGTATTATAATGGATATAATGGATAAATTGTGACCTCACATCCTGTATTATATGCATTAATTTTTTTAGCTCATGAGAATCTGCCTCAATGCTGCAGATATGAAAAAGAGAAAATCTAAGTCACGTGATGTGCCCAAGCTACCAGTACATTGTGAAAATGGCAAGTGTACTTTTCACTTGGTGTAGCCGTTTAAAAACAGAAGAACGCAGTTGGGGACAGCAGGTATTGATAGAGGATGCCCTGTTCACTATACTCTTTGCACCACCCAGTGAACTTGGAAATTGTGTTGTGAGGGAAATAATCTTGCTTCTAGCTTACTCACTTGAGGCAGGGTCCTCATGTCACCTCATAAATCCATCCAGACATCACTATCTTTTTCTGTTCTGCCTTTTATTTAGATCTTGGAACGAAGCCGAAGGGAGAGAAGGTTCCTCACGAACAGCAGATCAAGTTCTTTGGAAAGGTCATGATCTTTGTTTGATTTATCTAGCAGTTTGGTATTTGACTGCATGAAAACAACTCTGGATAAATTGAAGCAAAAAATCCTCTTTTCTGTACTGACAATGTGTGTATGGGACATTTTACCCCCAGGTTGTCTTGCCTTTGGTGGATCAGTACTTTAAAAACCACAGGCTGTACTTCCTGTCCACAGCCATCCATCCAATCAGCAGTGGTGGCCATGCCTCCAACAAGGAGAAGGAGATGGTGACAAGGTGAGTGTGGCAGCAAGACTACTGTAGGGTATACAACTTTGTCATGCATTATTGCTGAAATATGAAATGAAACCTTAACTGTATGTTGAAGACTAGTGTTTCTGTGTATGACAGCAACTGAGCCAGCTCTCCTCAACTTTTCCTCATCTGATTGTCTCACACCTTTCTTTTATCTTCTTCTGCTTCTCTCTCTATCTCCTGTCATTGAATCTTTTCAGTCTTTTCTGCAAACTGGGAGTTCTTGTCAGACATAGGATATCCTTATTTGGTAAGGAGAGTGTAACTAACTTGTTGGATGACATCTTTATACATGTAAAATGGATTTTCTCAAAGTACTCTGGAGGTCCAAAGTACTTTCAATATGGTGACAATATGGCCATGTTTTCAGAATTGTTTCATTGACATGGTACCAAAGTATCTGTTCTCTTCGATGTGTGCATGCATGGTATTGTGAGTGTTTGTATGCCCATCCTTTGCTCAACAGCTGTGTGTGGTGTGTGGTGTTGAATTCCACCGTGTCCTTGCAGTAAAAAGATGTTCCACATCTGGAAACTAAAAACTAATATTGCATGAAACAGGCGCATTGGAGAAAGGAAAGACATTGGTTATTGGTCAGGCCATCAGAACTGAAAAAAATATTGCTGCACATTACCCAAGGCTCAATAAAATGGCCTGGAGTTAATAAGAGTGGCATGCTGTCTTCCACACTTTCAAACTTTTAATTTAAAAGGAACATCTTTTTCATTTGAATATGCTGTGTCAGTCACAACAACACAAATCTGGTGGATGTGATTTCATACAGACAACCCCTACTGATGTAAACGAGTGTAGTGTTGTTGTCTTAGTATGCTTTTGTGCTTAACTTTTGCAAGACAGACATGACTGCCAACTCTGCTCTTTCTGTGAATTCAGTTGTTTGTTTTTTGTTTATCATGTGATCTCTGCTGTTCAGGTAACAATGCCACATCCATAGTCAACTGCCTGCAAATACTGGGACAAAGCCTGGATGCCAGGTGAGAGAAGAGATGAACCTGGATTTCTGTGTGTCTGTTTACCGGTTGTCATGACACCAGGGGTCCATTTCACAAAGCAGGTTCAACAAACTCTGAGTCTAGTCCTGAATTCTGAGACAGGAAACTCTGAGTTTCTGGTTCCAGAACAGCGGATTTGAGTTAGTTTAATCAGCTCAGAGTAGTTTCACCTGGAGTTAAGCACGTGCACCACGACTATTAAAAGCCAGCATCAATGGAGCCCAGATTCAATGCCTCACCATGGCAACAAGGAAAAGGAGGACTGCGTTCCCCCCCCAAACTAGAATTGGAAATCTTAATGCGCTCATACGGCGAGTTTGAACATGTTTTTAGAAAGAAGTGTAACACTGCTGCAGCTGCAAAACAGAGGGAGATGGTGTGACGAACATTGCTGCTCGGGTCAGTGCATAAGTTTAAATGTCGTCCTTTGCAATCACAATAATATTACAGGGGGAAACTCCTTGAATGGTAGCCTATTAATTTATTTTAATATAAAGACATTGTTCAAGTCTGAGGTTGCAGCACAATGTCATCAACAGAATATCATTTAAAATTAACTGAACAGATCTCTACATCATTCACCTGCAATCCTGTGGATCTCCTCCTTGATGGCTCTGACAGGTTTATGTCCAGGGAAAACAACAAAGATGAGTAAAAGCCATTTCAGGGTGAGGCACACTTTTCTGACCGCCCTGCATACACTTACCTTACTCAAGGGCTCTGCATCTCAGACATTGTACAAAAAACTTCCCTTTCGCAAAGAAACGCAGAGCAACACACAATATCTGCTGGGATGTGGGGCCATGACTATGGTTGGTAATACTGCACATGTAAGAATGGATTAGGTTGTATGTAGATGAGAGACCGTGACGTGAAACGGTACCGCTCAAAAAGATAACTGTCTGGAAATGCTAGAACATCTATGCGTGGTCTGATAACCGTCTCCCGACGAATATTTAATTCTCTGTGCAGTAATGCTGCACCTTCCTCCATGGGATCGTTATTAAAAAGCCATGCCATGCTAGTGAAAAAAGTCGCCTCCTACTGTGCCTAATGGACTTCAATACAGCCTACTGACTGTGATTTTTTTTAATGATTTTTGACAGACGGCAGAACTAGGCTACGCCAAACTCGCCTGCTGACTGAATGAATGAGTGAGGAAATCAAATGGCGTGTGTGGCTAAAAGAGGGCGGAGACGGAGAGAAACTCGAGGTTCATTGAGAAAAACCTGGTCTCGACCATGTTAGGTTCATAGAGTCTGTTACTATGGTAACTGACCGAGACCTTAAGTTACCTCTCTCTGTGAACCAGACTACCCCTCTTCCTCTGGTTTGAGTTATCTCCCTTTGTGAAATGGAAAACTCTGAGTTTCCCTCATTTCAGGGTTAACAGACTCAGAGTTTTCACTAAACCTGCTTTGAAATGGACCCCAGGAGGTTAACGTGGGATGATGTGTATGCCATTGGTGATTGTTATGTTGAAGTAGGTCATTCACACCTGGCCAGTTTGTCAATTCTTTTTTTGTCTATCAGTACATTAAATATTTCAAGCCATCCTAAGAATGTATTCATGTACATATGACTTAGAGTAATTGGAGGAGTATGTGTGCACATATAACACCACATTGGACCCAGCATTAGCCACTTTGCATGTGGTGTAGACTGCTAATTTGATAAATATGATATTGCTAAAGGAAGCAGCATCTTTTTGAGCCCCACTGTAACAAAAGTGGCTATAGATGTTCATATTGATATTTTCCTCTGGCTGGAATTTGTTGGGTTCTATATTTACTGTTTTTGTTTCTTTTATTGGTGCGTCCAGTGTGGTTATGTTAACGTAGAGGGTAAACTTCAGGTATACATATTGTGTTTTTTTTAAGGTTGCTAAGATTACAACATTAGAGAACCTTGAGCTGTGCTATTCCAACTGGCATTGTTACACATTCCAAACATGGCCATTACCAAAGCAGTTGTTGGTATCATTTTAAGAAAAGTCCTGAAACTATAGTGTAATGCTTTCCAACTACCACTGCAAACATGCAGCTGGCCATGACTTGAACTGATGTGGCTCTGCACTTTATTATTGCATTGTGTGAGTGTAATCAAACTGGTGATGACGTGAACAGAACTTCATGACGGCATAACACTAGCCAAATCACACTAGCAGCTGTAGCCGGAACAGAAGTATTTTATTAAAGAGAAAAGAAACAGTTTAACAATATGCAGTACTTTTAACATCGTTCTGAAAATATGAATTTCTTGGACAAATCCAACTGTAGCTCCTAAACATTCACTGATTCATTCATTCATCTATCCATATAGATGCTCTTTCCTCATGCTCATCCATCCGTGCATTCCTCCAGACTCGCCATTGCTTCATCTTACCTGCTAGTTTGGGTGTGTGGGGCTGCTGTGTGCGTGTGTGGTTTGTGTGTAAGGTGAAAACTGCCTCTGATTGGCTTACCATGAAAGCAAGAAAAAAGTGAATAGCTTTGCAGCTTCTGTGGCTGAGAGCCAAGTCGGATGATAAGAACTTCAATGAGCAGCTTTAGTTTACAACGCACCCCATTTAATTGTCGATAATGGTAACGGCGTTGTAACGATGGAAATAGTAATTAGTTAGATTACCCATTACTGAAAAAAATAGCACTGTTAGTAACGCCATTATTCCCATCACTGGATATGACAGTTTAGCATTTTCAGTTTTGTCTTTTCTCTTGCTTTATTTTCCAAGAGTGTTTCATTCATTAAACTAGTAGGATGTCCTGGGCATTTTCTTGTGGTGCTTATTAAATGCAGTTGGTTGAAACATCTGTCTCTTGTCAAGATAATAATGTAAAACCTAACTTAATCAGAACAGTGATGAAGACTGGCCTGGAGTCAGTGAAGGCGGCTTTGCGGTCATACTTCGACAGTGCGGCCGAGGATTTGGAGAAGACTCAAGGGAACCTGAAGCTTGGTCAGTTCACTCACAGCAGAGAGCAGCCACGAGGTGTCACCCAAATCATCAACTACACCACATTCGCCCTGCTGCCTGTCCTCTCCTCCCTGTTTGAACACATTGGACAGAACCTGTTTGGAGAAGACCTCATACGTGAGTACTGCCAATGAGTTATTGAAGTTTGAGGATAATGTCAGATTTCCAACATGTTTGTCTCTCTTGCTTCAGTGGATGATGTCCAGGTCTCCTGCTACAGAATCCTCAACAGCCTCTACTTTCTGGGAACCAACAAAAGCATCTATGTAGAGAGGTAAATTACATGTGATAGGACAGCAGTCTTTAAAGCTGCCACATGCAGTTTTGATGTACACAAACAAAAGTTAGGTTTCATTTCTGTGTTACTCACCGGAATCGATTGTATGTATCCCTGAGCTTTATGTCTCCCAACTTCCTGTCTGATCCAGCCCTAAAAAACAAACAAAACAAAAAGGACATCCAAACAATAACACTATGTTATCTATATCACTACTTTTGAAAGTCTGTAATGAATTGTGTAATAAACAAAGAAACTGATTTTTGATATTTACAATAACCATTGCTGCTCCTGTTTGTCCTTTCCTTTCCTTTCCTTTCCTTTCCTTTCTTTTCCTTTCCTTTCCTTTCCTTTCTGTGTGTCTCCTTTCCTTTCCTTTCTTTTCCTTTCCTTTCCTTTCCTTTCCTTTCTTTTCCTTTCCTTTCCTTTCCTTTCCAGGCAGCGTCCAGCATTGGGAAAGTGTTTAGCTGCCTTCTCAGCAGCCTTTCCTGTTGCCTTCCTCGAGCCTCATATCAACAAGTTTAACAGCTTCTCCATCTATAACAGCAAAGGAAGTAAAGACAGAGGAGGTACGTAGTTTGCATGTTAGCAGTCCAGTAACTGGAGGTAACTGTATTTTTTTTTAAAAGTACATTTATATGCAGCTCTAAGATTCCAGAGTTATACACTACAGGTGTACCTGTTGCTGTCTTTCACAAAATCTGAAACCATGTAGCTCTAATTGTTAAAAAAAGAAAAAAAAAAATAGAAAAGCGAGCAACCCCTTGTAACTAATGACTAAATATAGTATAATACATAATTAAATTAATTAAATCTGAAAAATGTGTGCTTCAATCAGTGTAAAACTATGTTGAGCACTGCATTTTTGAAATAACATCACATTTACTCACAATGTAAAGTATGATAATCTATATAATCATAAACTGATTTTGTCATGTGTCTCCATATGTCTTGACAGTTTCAACAGCAGGTTTTGTGTTTTCATCTCTAACCGAAAAACAAAACAAACAAACAAACAAAAAAAAAACTGTGGGTTTTTCCCTGAATATTCTTAATATATTCATTCATGGATTAAGTACACCTCTCTTTCCACATCTCAGCTCTAGGTCTTTCGGGGCAGGTTGAGGAAGTTTGTCCTCTGATCCCAAACTTAGAGAAATCTCTGGAAGAGATCATGGAGCTGGCAGAGTCTGGCATGAGATATACTCAGATGCCCCACGTCATGGAGGTAACTCACTAACAAACTTATTTTTATTTATATATTAGTACCCATATCAATTTAGATTTAGTTTCCTTAGGGTGCCTCTTCTCACCACAGACTCATCCACAGTAGAGGCACGTCGCTTTTTGTCCTATAACCAGAGCTTTCGAATTAAAATTAGTCCTTCAGTACTGCATGGTTTTCCACTACTGCTAAGTTCTTAAATGGTCTCACACACACACACACACACACACACACACACACCTACACACACACACACAGACACACCCCCTCACAACCACCAGCAGTGACTAGATGACACACACATAGGCATACAAGGTAAATACTTCCTATGCCCCTACAGGTAAATAGAGGATTAATCTCCTCATCTTCAGTCTGTTTCATCAGACTGTTTTACTCAGTATATTTAGCCAATCGATCATTTGGGTCCACTAGAGAGAATTTAGTCTGTGTCCTGAAATGACGTGGACTGAGCCATTGCTGATTTGAAATTAGACATGTTCAAAGTCTTTGTATATTAAACCCAGTTTGTGTTGATACAATGTCTGTTTTGTGTGATTTATTGTCGATTGAATATTAATGAGAAGCCTTCAGTATGTTTTTGTTTGTTTGTTTGTTTGTTTTCATTGTAGGTGGTGCTGCCCATGTTGTGCAGCTACATGTCTCACTGGTGGGAACATGGACCAGAGAGTCACCCAGACAAAGCCGACAGCTGCTGCACCTCTGTGACCTCTGAACACATGAACACTCTGCTTGGAAACATTCTGAAGATCATCTACAACAATCTGGGAATAGATGAGGGGGCCTGGATGAAGAGACTGGCTGGTAAACATGTCCGCATGCTGGTTATCACTGAGCAACAGAATAATCTTTCAAATTTGATCTCTGCTCCTGCTCTGCAGTATTCTTCATTTTGTTTTAAATCATAGAACTACTGTGTGAAGTTTTGTTTGCAACAATCAACTAATATTTACACTGACTGTATCCCACCAAACACATTGTTAGTATCTTTGAGCTCTAACATGTGTGTTGAATGCAATTCCGTCTCATAAAATGTTTGCAAAAGAATTTACATGTCCATCAAAATCGGCATCAACACATACCATATTTGCTATGAATAAAACTCCAAATGGAACTTTAAAGTACCACTATGAGTTCATGGGAACTTTTAAAAATGCAAGGTTTATAGCAGGGGGCTACATATATGTATATATATATATATATATTGTGCAGAACTTTAGGCAGTTTAGGTGTTTAAGTTAAGGTTTATTTATTTGAAAGAACTTTTTATACAATTGTTGACATTTACAGAGGTGTACACGCCAAGCAAAAATAAAACAAGCTTAAAAAAAAGGCATTAGTAGAATAAATAGAAATAAATAAATGTTGGGCAGGAAATTAATCCAAGGCTGGTTTTTGTTCAGGTCAGTTTTTACTTGTCTCTTGACCGTGCTCCTTGAGGTTGCCGTTTTAATCTCAGCTGGTAAAGGGTTTGAGGTTTTAGGTGTCAGGGCAAAAAATTGTATTTTTATATTTTAAAAACAATACTAATGTTTTACTGTGGGAGCCTGGCAGTCAAGTTCTAGATGAATTGAAGGTTTTTTTTTTTTTTAGAGGACTAGCGATGAAGACGTGAATACATTCTGCATCATTTTTTGTAAATAAAAAAATGGCCAAACTTTCACAAAATTGCAGATGTGAAAAAGGCTTACTTTATGATGTTCATCCATTACTTATTACCATTAGGGAGAGGTTTGATCAGTCCAAATTCATTTCGCAGCAGGTTACTTTTTAATAGTTCTCCTTTTACTGGCTGTGCCTCCATTTTTGTACAGTTATATGTCTCAACACAGACATTCACATTATGGAATTTCATTTTAAATGTTTTTTGCTTAATTTAACTCCATCTCTGTCAATGCCCCCCAGTCTTCTCTCAGCCAATTATCAGCAAAGCCAAAGCCCAGCTGTTGAAGACCCACTTTCTGCCTCTGATGGAAAAACTCAAAAAAGTAAGTGTCATCTTTTTGCAACGTAATCATGTTTTCTGTGTTGTAGCAACCACATAAAAGAGAATTCACCAAGTATCTTGCACATGGTATAACTGATTTGATCGTAAGAATATAAAACACGAGTGTCTGCTATTCGAAACTTTCTAATATTTCTTGCTCAATTCTAAGCATATTGGATTTAGATATTCTTAACTGAGACTTATTACTATCAAATATTTGCTTTGACTTCCATCTACAAACATCTAGCAGCAAGCTTTAAAAATAAAAATAACATACCCTACAGGTGTTCCACATGATAAAAATAGTATTACTACTACTACTAATAATAATAAAGCACATAGGGTACAGCATTGGACAGAACATTTATCTCTGTGTTTTGTAGAAAGCAGCAGTTGTGCTGATGGATGAAGAACACAGCAAGGCAGAGGGGAGGGGTGAGATGTCAGAGACAGAGCTTCTCATCATGGACCAGTTCACCATACTGGTCAGAGACCTGTATGCCTTCTACCCTCTCCTCATACGATTTGTTGACTACAACAGGTACAGTGCTTTGATTGGACAGTGTCAAGCTTTAGTGCTTATACTGACTCAAACTATGACTTACATCACAATGAGTGTTATGATTACTAAATAATTATATAAATGAATTACTGTAAGATTGTCCTGCAGATACTTGCTTACTACAAGCTGCATCCTAGGAGAAAGAATGATATATTGATATATGTCAATGTGATATATTGACAGGGCCAGATGGCTGAAAGAATCCAACGCAGAGGCGGAGGAGCTTTTCAGAATGGTGGCTGAGGTTTTCATCTTCTGGGCCAAGTCTCATGTAAGAAAATGACTGAGGAGAATGCAGAGTAACACAAAAACATGCAATTTAAAATATCTCAGGGTAAAGTTCTCAAAGGAGCACCAGACCAGAGGCTCCATAATGTAAGTAAATGTTATATAGTCTAATAAAAGGTGGTGGTTTAGAGAGAGCAAATGTAAGACACCAACAGTACAGTAAACCAATATGACTTTAAAATGAGTGAATGACTTGTGTTGTCTTCTTTATGCAGAACTTCAAGAGAGAGGAACAGAATTTTGTGGTCCAGAATGAAATCAACAACATGTCCTTCCTCATCACTGACACTAAGTGTAAGATGTCTAAGGTATGGACATATGTATAGGCAGGAAGTACATTAAAATGACTCTTTGGAGTACAATGTGCCAAAAAAATGTTGTTTTGAAAAGAAATATATGAATCACAATTATATTGCAATGATTAAAAAAAATACTTGAGTGCTTTATTTTCCCTCTGATGTTTGACTTTGTATTAGGGAATAGTTTCAGACCAGGAGAGGAAGAAGATGAAGAGGAAGGGTGATCGCTACACGATGCAGACGAGCCTCATTGTTGCTACTCTGAAGCGTCTGCTGCCTGTAGGACTCAACATCTGTGCTCCAGGAGAACAGGAGCTCATCACACTGGCTAAGAACCGCTTTACTCAGGTAGCAACAAAAGCAACGTTCATTTAGTAGATGATGAAAATAGCTGTCCGTTATGTGATAACTTCACTCCATTGTACTGCTCCAGTGTGTGAAGAAATGCATGCAACAATTAAGTTGTGGCACTAAGTATTGTATTTCTGTGGTGAATCTATACTGTTATCATCAATCTAAACAGTAATCTGAAAATGTGTTAAATATTGCTAAAAACACAAGAAATGTATCGTGTCAAAATTACTGCATACAAACAGAAGTGATGTGCTACAAAATAATGCAGACTCCCAGAAAAGATTCAAATTATCAATGAGATCTTCAAGACCTGTTAATCATTGGATTTGCCTCTTCTCTACAACAGAAAGATACCGAGGATGAAGTTCGAGAGATCATCAGGAACAATCTGCATTTACAAGGAAAGGTAAAAATGCTTTTCTAATTCAGACAACTTTAACGAGGCCATAGACAGCAATTAATTTGCATCTTCACAAGTTCATACTTGACCTTGTGACTGTAGCAAGGTCAAGGCACTCAAATGTATTTGAGGAAAACTCAAGATGTTGTCAATTTTTTATGTTTACATCCAAGGTATTCTCATCAGCTAACTATTGCTCAAATTCCTACAAATGTCTAACAATTGTGATTTTCAATCCAAAAGGATATCCACAAGTCAACTTCACTGTGACATTAATGGTCAGATTTTTCTGGCCATTATTCCGTGGCATAACTCAAGAACAAAAGGGAATACTGTGACCATACAGGTCAGATACTGAACTGGTGACACAAATTTTGGGTGTCCACCTATTAATACCTTTAGAGTCTTCACTGCATGTATTATATGAGTCTGGACAGATGTGGATGTGAACTGCAACTTGACTGGTTGGCTGAGGCAAAATGCAAAGCAGTATTTCAAGTTTGTTTACTTTTGTTTTGCAGTCTAGTTAAAGTACATGTATATGTATATTTGACTAGAGTATTCAGAGGTGCTCAACTTCAACACACGTAGACATGCAGTTTGTCTGTGTGTCTTGTACAGCTGGAGGACCCAGCTATTCGCTGGCAGATGGCTCTGTACAGAGACCTCCCTAACCACTATGAGGATAGCTCAGACCCAGAGAAGACCGTTGAAAGAGTCCTGGACATCGCTCATGTCCTCTTCCACCTGGACCAGGTTTGTGTCATGATATTTGAGTGGACCTGCTGTATATCTGCTACTTCTAGAGTACAGCTTTCTGAATAGAAGCAGGCCAGCACTCTCCTCTTACAAGAGCTGATGTGATTGGTCATTGCTGAAGCTACCCCAACACACAGACACACACACACGCACACACAAACAATTTTAAATTCTGCCACACCTCTGTAACTAGTTGTCCTAGAGATGTGGAAAGTGTGGGCTTCAGATGGTGAGCTACATCATCTTAAATTTTTCTGTACTGAGGGGTTCAGTTTGTGTCTTTAGGTTGAGCATCCTCAGCGCAGTAAGAAGGCCGTGTGGCACAAGCTGTTGTCTAAACAGAGGAAGAGAGCCGTGGTCGCTTGCTTCAGGATGGCACCACTCTATAACCTCCCCAGGTAAGTTCTGCACCCACATGTGCACAACTCAGTGGAGACATGTGGAGGGATCATATTTTGTGTAAACCTGGGAATAATGACAAAGTTTGCTGAAGTTCTGACATGCAAAATGAAGAAATATATTTTAAGATTCGACATCATTTTGAAATCTGCAATCAAACTAAAGCAAATCTGTGACATTGACACTCGTGTTTGATCGACTAATCAGAAGGTTTTTTCAACTAAATAAACTTGCAGTCATTGTTCAGTTGATTTAAATGTAGATGTGCCATAAGTTTCTGGCAGGACATTGCTTGCTTCCAGCAACAGAGTACTTACTGATGGTAATGGCCCTGAGCAAACCTCAAAGCTCAACTTAGTTCACTGGGGGACTCAGATTTTTGGACCCCACTGTGTGCTTTAATTCTGGTATATTGTAAAAACATCCTAAATATTTTTATTCCTTTATTCATTATACCTGTATCTCTCTCAAACTAGGCACCGGGCTGTAAACTTGTTCCTGCAGGGCTATGAGAAGTCTTGGATTGAGGCGGAGGAACATTACTTTGAAGATAAACTTATAGAGGACCTGGCGGTAAGTTTATTTCAGTACAAAGGTAGGACAAATGAAATTATTTTGACTCCTGGCAGAATTGTGTCTATGAAGACAAATTTGTTTTAAAGGTTGATATGGGAACTTTGTTTTTTTTTTAGTGTGTATCATAAAGCCTATTTTATATGATTGTTTATTTCAGAAACCAGGTGAGCTGGAGCCACCTGAGGAGGAGGAGGGGGTGAAACACATTGATCCACTGCATCAGCTCATTCAGCTGTTCAGCAGAACTGCCCTCACAGAGAAATGGTAGGTTCTTATAGATATAAGATGCAGTAGATTTAGAAAATATTCAGACCCTTTCAGTTTTTTCACACTTCATTGTGTTGCAGATTAAATTTTAAAATTGACAAAATTTCACATCAATCTACACTTAATAACCTATCGTGACAAACTGATTATTTTTACTTTTTAAATTTTTTTTCAAATTTGTTAGGTATTCTTCCAAGAGTTGGCCGTCCAGTAACACTGAGTAACTGGGAAAGTAGGTCCTTGGTTAGGAAGGTGAGAAAGAACCCAATAGCAACAGGGTTTCAGACACCCTTTGCAGAGATTGGAGAACCTGCTGGAAGAGTAGCCATCTCAGCAGCAGTCAGTTGATTTGGCCTTCATGGTAGAGCAACAAGGTCAGCAAGTTTTAGACTTTAATTAGTAGTTCCCCGATGCTCATGAGTTCGACTCCCGCTCACGACAGTTTGCTGCAGGTCCTCCCCCCTCTTCTCCCCCCTTTCCTGTCTCACTCGCCCACTATCCTAACTAATAAAGGCAAAAAGACCAGAAAAATATATTAAAAAGGCCATAAAAAAAATAGAAATAAAACATGTTTCCTCTTGACTTTTATATTGGACTATTGAGTGTCAATTGTTGAGGGAAAGGCCAATTTTGATCTATTAAAATTAAATCTGCAACACAAGAGGGCAAAGGACTGCAAAAAGTGCTCTTCTGTTCTGCAAGTGCGAAACAAACATAATCTGAGTGATTTTAGTCAATGCTACAGTGAAATATTTTTCTTAACACAGCAAAAATAAAACCTGTTGTAACATGTATGTATGGATTTCCTTTTGCAGTAAACTGGATGAGGACAATCTCTACATGGCCTACGCTGACATCATGGCTAAGGTACAAGCTACTGAATACCAGCACCAAAAGCCTTTGAATTACACTTGAATTCACTCACTTATCATAGCATTGCAATAATATTGATAATTCTTCTGTTTGCTACACATCATTCATCTGCTGTCTACATGTTCCTTTCTGTTTTTACGACTGTTCCTTTCCTCAGAGTTGCCATGATGAAGAGGATGAAGATGGGGAAGTGAAGAGTTTTGAAGTAGGTGGTCAGTGACTCTTTATGTCTTTCAGTGTCCATAGTGATTTTAGCTTTAGACTGGTTAACTGCTGCCTGTCAGACTTGTGTCCTGTTTTAAACAATTAGGAGAAGGAGATGGAGAAGCAGAAGCTGTTGTATCAGCAGGCTCGACTGCATGACCGTGGAGCTGCTGAGATGGTGCTGCAAACCATCAGTGCAAGCAAAGGTATGTCACACGTGGTGTCCTGCCTTCCGCTTCTTACTGTAGCACTGCTATGTAGTTTATATGTAGTATATGTAACAACTGCTAGATGACTCAGAGGGCTGCACAGTCCACTTGCTGTACTCTTTGAACTTTTACCTGATATTTTTGAAGAGTATAAACATACGCAAAGTGTGTCAGGAAAGTTCCAGGATTGATGTCGCAAAAGATATATTTCAAGTTCCAGTTCCTGGCTGAGAAGAATATCACCGTGCTGGAGCAACCTCCCTACTCACCCCACCTGGCTCCATGTGGTTTTTTGACTCTTCCCCAAGCTCAAGGGGGTCATCAAGGGGACCCGTTTTGAAGAAGTGGACGACATTAGGATGGCTGTGATGACGGAGCTGAGGAGGATCCTGGAAGAATCCTTCCAAGAGTGCATGGCAGCGTGGCATAGAAGGCTGGAAAAGTGTGTTAGACTCCAGGGGGATAACTTCAAAGGGGAAACTTGTAGTTTGTAGTTTGGATTTGAAATATATCTTTTGTGATGCCAGTCCTGGAACTTTTCTGACACACCTTGTATTGTATTACTGTATTAATTATGGTCATGTCTGTGTGAGAGTGGGGTCATAGTTATTAAAAGGTAATTATTCTTTGTTGGAATAGACAGGGACTGGTAGCAATCATGTCCTTTGGTAAATAAAGGAGTAGCAGATAGTATTGTTATATTATCTGTGTGTGATCCTCTCCTTCAGGTGAGATGGGTCCCATGGTAGCGTCTACTCTGAAGCTAGGCATAGCTATTCTCAATGGGGGAAACTCAACTGTACAGCAGGTACGTTCAGCTACTTATGTTTTTGTTAATTAAATGGCCAATTAGCAGAATATAATCCAAGTATTCCTTAGAAACTTAACAGCTTATCCTGTGACCCTGTCAAAGGGACTCTTGTCTTATCAAGGGAATGGCACCATATCTTTTGGTTTGTTGGAATAATGTGTTCATTCTCTGTACTGGCTTAAGAACTGAGTGTAAAATATAACTCAGCTGTCCCATTGTACTCTGTGGTCTTTATGTGTGTCTCTGACAGAAAATGTTGGATTATCTGAAAGACAAGAAGGATGTGGGCTTCTTTCAGAGTCTGGCTGGTCTCATGCAATCATGCAGGTAAGGTACAATAACCTTGGACTTTGCTCCCTTCTTAAATCCAAACAAACCAGAAAGATCACAGCAGTAACCTGGAAGACTTTTGTAAAATTTCTCAATATGCATTAATATAGTGATTTCAGAAATGCAAATAATCATTCTGTTTTGGAGAAACTTCAGGTAAAATATACAATATTTCAATCATTTCTGGGTGTTCTACAGCATTTTGGCTTTAGCAGCTTTTAGATGTAAAAGCCAACGAGTTGAATGCCAATGTACTGGCCAAGGCTGCAGGAGGGAAGGCAGGTCAGTGAGTCACGATATGTTTGTCTTTGTTTTAGTGTTTTGGATCTAAATGCGTTTGAGAGGCAAAACAAAGCTGAGGGATTGGGCATGGTGACGGAGGAGGGATCAGGTAAGCCTCACTATGTTTACACCATTTGGATTTCTTTTTAAATGGTTGTAAAAATAGAATAGGATGTTCTAAGAACATTTCTTTGTCTGAGTTAGAGATTGATGACCTAACCTGGACATTTTGTACAAGCTTTATTAAAATGCTTCTCATCTCCAGGTACAAACAGAATCAATTTTAATCAGCCTAACTGTGGTTCTTTTGAACCTGCCTTTAAAGCATATTAGCATGTCCTAGAGTGGTCATCAGCATGTGTAGAAAGTGACCATTTAAAAAGTTGTGGTGCAAGAAACACATGCTTTGATGTCAAATTTTGTTTATTCTTGATACATGGAAGTTCTTTTTTTCTTTTCCAATCATCATTCTGTATTTTACTTTGTTTCATTTACCCTGACATCACCTTGGTTGAGCACTTTGTTGACTTTAAATCAAGTGGTAATGCAATATCACCTCTTGTTCACATGCATTGTCAAGTATGATTTTCCGATTTACAAGTTGTTGTGCTTATACTTTTCCTGTTATATCCTCAGTATATTAAAAGTGACAAATTCCAGATTGATGCCTTTTCAAAATTCTAATCAGTTACCTTCATGCGGGATAAACTATAACAGTGTAGTATATTTTCTTGTTTTATTATCGTACTATTATTTATTGTAGTTCTAGATTTTAAAATACAGCAATCATTTACTTTGTCTACTGGATAATAATGGGTAATTACAAGGTAATTACTGGTACATCATAATGAAGTTATCTTGTTATAGTAGGTGCAGAAGTGACAGCTTTTTACAGATTTGCATCTGATTTTTAAGTCTGTTTGCAATTAGATTTTTTAAATATAAATGCCTGTCATTTTTCTGCTCCAGTGTATGGCATTATTAGCTTGTATTACAGTATAATTTTTCCTCACTTAAAAATTCCTTCTTTTTTTTTCAAATGCTTCTCTGTAAATGTGTACTTAAAGCAAATTATGAATTATAGTCATAAGAGGCTGCTTTTCAGTTATAGTGTCATGTATAGAGTAGTAGACTGTGCCACTGGTTGTCCACATAACATAACTGGACAGCTGCCCCCCCCAGCTATGGTTGTTTAGCAGCATTGCAGCTACACTGTACAAAATTGGCTGCAAATGGTGTCATCCACACAAAATGGTAGTGCCCATTTCCAAGATATGTTGGCTTCACATTTAGGGAGCTGTCATGTCGTCAGTCTTTATATATAGTCTATGTTGGGAATACAAACTTTGCACAATGAGTTATCAGATCAGAGACTGTAGTCCTCGATCGTCTCAACTCTCCAGTCAGTTACGTATTTTTTAATGTATGGTAAATGACACCATGCGCATCAAGGGACGTGGATATTATTTTAAGACACTCTGGCTTGCTCAGTCGTGCCCCGCGGTTTACCCATAAAGCACCTGTGCTGGCATGAATTCACTGATAGTTTGAACTCCACCTCAGTCAGGGTGTAGTGTGACAATCCGTACTACTTTCAAAAGTGAGTGAGTTCCATATATATGGGTTACAGCATTAAATCCGATTTCCTGTTGTGTGGTAGATTGGACATCTGTCTGTGGGCAGCCTCACTGCATTAATTGCGTTCAGATTTTGTTAGATATATTAATTTGTCTCTCTCTGGCTCTCATGTTACTCCAGCGAAGCCAGCCTCTTTCTGCCGATGCCTGAATGCCCCTGAAGCATATTGCTTGCGGTAGTAAGCTGACGCCCTCAGTGGTAGTCGGTGACAAGTGCAGACTGGTCTGCATGGGCTCAGAGGAGTGATGCCACGTCATGTGGCTATCCTCTTGGAACGCATGCAAGGCTCACGATGGCAGTTAACATCATAAAGACCAATCTCTGGCCATCCCAGGTGGCAACATTTCTGAGCATTGTTCTGGACTTTAGGAGGGAGACTAATTTACTGACTCCAGAAAGGCAGCAGGACAGACAGCACAGTGACCACAGTGCCTATCAATAGGCAACCTGGCAGCACTGTGGCAGCTGGTACCCTCCTCTTCCGCTTACTCAGAGTTACACATTTGCCGGAGCCTCTGAACACGATAGGACATCATGTCAAGAGGGAGTCTCATAGACGGGCCTAAGCAGCTCATCTGCCTCGGTCTATATGTGTTTTGCAGGGCCTTATCCAATTTGGTATGTGAATAGTGTACATTTGCCAATAGTTTGTCACATACTGTGTTTTGGGCTGCATCTTCTCCTCACGGGATGTCTTAAAGAGTTCCCCAGTACTAATGTAATATGTAATCGAGTGGAGAAATTTTTTGAAACGATAGAGAACGTGCAGTTACGTTGTAAACCTGGTTCTCTGAGTTAAGTGACTAACTCTCCAGCTCTTTCATGCCTCTCAAAGACATGCTTCAATCAAACTGTCACTGAATTCACACCAGCATGTGCACTATAGCTAAACCATTGAGCCCGACCGGGCAAGTAGTTGTGTCTTAAAGAAATATCCATGTGCCCTGACAAGCAGTAAGGTCATTCCTCATGCATACGAAATATGTAACAGAGTGGAGAGATCGTCTCTTCATTCAGAGAACAAAGGTTACAATGTAACCATAAAATCTAAAAAAAAAAAAGTCAAAGTGGTTTCTTCTAACCATAAAGGGGATCTTTTTGAAATGTTTATCACAGTCATCTTTTTTTAATTCAAGAGGTTCTACATATGAACATTAACCTACCATGAGTGGTGGCAATTCAAAAAACATTCATAGGACCAGTCTTTGGTTACATGAGTTGCTTGGGTGGCAGGTTTAGCCTCCATGAACGATTAATATTACACATGGGGTGCACTTCCAATATGCCAATATTTTCGAATTCACTTTGGCTGATTGTTGATGCTGATACTGATGCATGCACATATTTTTATCAACTTAAGTTCAGAAAACATTAACTCCTCTTGCGAAATTAACTTACCATTACAATCATACTATTCTACCCTGATTTCCCACTGGCAGATGCTGACATAAAATACAATACTTTTTAAATGTATACATACACTGGCTGCAGGTCTGATATTACAATAACAAAGTTAATCCTCACCCTTTGGCAGAAGGTGTTCTGCTGCCATGTACACTCATGAGCCACTTTATGTTCAAACATGGAGTTTGTTATGTTCCAGTCCATGCAAACAACAGAAGTCTAATGACAAAACATCACTCTGGTTCAGATCAGGCTGGCCATTCCACATTTCCAGGTTTCTCAATCCCTGACAATTGAATTGAAGTTCCGTAGGAGAACTATTGAATCCTCTGGTGGAGCCCCTTCCAGATTGCCAGTCAGAGACTTCAAGAAGGCTGGGTACTCCAAACTTCTGTCCAGTGCATAGGCACAGAAAACAGTTAGAGCCGTAATCTCTGCAACACATAGTTACAGAGAGGCAATACTCTCATTCTCTGGGCAGAGCTCCAACACAGCAAGCACTCAACAAGGGGCTTATGAATGTCCCCACACCCATCTGGCACCACTCACTTTGGGCAACTCTGGAAAAAGAGAAAGTCCATCCCATCTCCAGGACTTTGGTAAAGAACACTTTGTGATTTGTCAAGGTTAGCTCAACCACATCTTCCTGGTAGCGCTCTACATCCCGCACCAGCCCTGGTTCTTCCCCCACCTGAGAGGTGACATTCCTAGTGCTAATCTATGATGTTGTGGTCCACTAGGCCCAGGTACCTGTCCCAGCCTGCCTCTCAGCTTGCACCCAGTCCGGCCCCTTTGCCTATCCCAGCAGGTGATGGACCCTATAAGTGGTGTCTCCATGCTGCTTCTTTTAGGCTACTCCCACCTGTATCCAATAGAGTAATACACAGCCACCAGACACTTGCTGGTGAGCTCCCCACCCAGTCCTTGCTCCAGGGCCCTGTTCTTCCTTTTCCCGGTGAGGTTCCAAAGCTTTATTTCTGCCAAGTCATGAGAGTTATTTGAATTACTCTTTGTCTGGCCCCTCACCAAGAATCAATTTGCCTTGAGAAACCCTACCAGTGGCTATTGGCCCCGACAACATAGGATGACAGGGACATGTGAATCCCTCCACCGCGATATGGTGGCCATTCTGCAGGGGGTACCTACAACCTCATTACCCATTAGTGAACCTGGCAGTTAAAGAGCCCATCAAATTGAAGAAGGGTGACTTTTGGGCTTGACTGAACCAGAGGTGTCCTGAAGCAGCAGACAGGTAATAAGAGACCAGAAGGTCTGCAGCTGCGGCAGTCACAGAACTAGAAACTCATGGCCTTAGCTTTGAACAGCTATGTAGAAGGGCTTTCAGATCGGCCTCAGGGAAGTCTGGCAAACCAGGCCTCATGAAGAGAAGCTAGGGCTTTCACCCAGTGCGGAGAACTGCTGACCTGGACTATATGTGTTGTTGGGTTATGAAAGGAGCACTTTGAGAAGTTCCCAAACCTGGCGAATGTTTTCTCTGTGGATGAGGCTGAGACTGAAGATTTAGGGGAAATCCTGCCCATATCTGTGGTAAGGTCACTGAGGTAGTCAAAAAGCTTCTTGGTGGCAAGGTGCCAGGTGTGGATGAGGTTTACTCTGAGATACTGAGGGCTGTGGACACTGCTTTGCTGTGTTTGCTGACATGCCTCTTCAGTATTGCCTGTGGGGTAGGGACAGGACCTGTGGAGTGCCAGACCAATGTGGTGGATCCCACTTTCAAAAAGGGGTACTCTTGGGTGTGCTCTAATTTTTAGGATATTACACTGCTAAGCCACCCTGGGAAACTTTCTCCAGGATGCTGGAAAGGAGGCCCTGACCAATTGTTGAACCTCAAATTCAGAAGAAGCAATGCAGATTTTATCCTTGGTGTAAAAAAAAAAAACTGCCACAGGAGACTGACTCTTCATCTGTACAAAGTTGCTGAGGGGGCCATTGGAGTTGACCAGCCAGTCCACGTATGATTTGTGGACAGGAGGCCTATGACTGTGTCCTCCAGGGAACGTTGTAGTGGTGAAGTAAAGGGTGCTGATGCTGTCATTACGGGCCATG